AATTCTTGTATTTGGGGAAATATCTCGTTGCTTTTCCTTCACTCTTAAAATGAACACTTTTTCTTTCCTTCTGGTTATGCATTTTGGAATTTACAACAGGGCTATTTGACCTAGTCAACGTGATCAGACAAGATTTCCTGCCTTCTGCTGGACTTGTTCTGTTACTTCTCGGTTTCGAAGAAGCGACCACCATTCCCAAATGTGTCCTTTGACGGTAAATAAATGGCGTTAAATTCCGTGTTTCAGTCCTCGTTCCGAGTAATCCATTTTTATGCGCCATCTCTTTCGGCTGTGCTTTCGATGTTATTTCAGGAAGGTGGTCACCCATGCGCGCACGGGCGGACAACGGCCTTATTTTTCCGCCTAACTTCGCCTCTTGCCTGGAGAGAAATTCAATTTTCTTACAGGACAAGAAAGCTCTCTCTTTTTCCATCTGCTTTTGAATTAGAGCGCGGTATTTATCGAGTTGATTTTGCTCTTGATTTTTAAGTGCTTCTGTTTGCTTCTCCTGTTCTGTGGCCAAAGAGTACACAAATGTCACGGACTCCATAGCCAACTGTGAGTTCTAGCCGCAGTATGTGGTTTTAAAAGAATCTCTGCAGGGCTTGGAATTCACTGTAGAACTGAGTGCGAATGCAGTTGCATTAGCGTTTTGTAATCTGCTGATTTTCTGTGATTTACAAGCGAGGCATAATTGTGCTCATTAACGGGTCGTAATTAACGTCTTTGCACCATTAATGAGATAGTTTATACGTACTTTTTATCATTTTAACAAACTGATGAAGTCACGTACTTAGTTACCAGCATTTTCTTAGCATTGTTCCCCTTAATTGTTCACGGAAAATATCATGCCTTTTGGAGTTAAAAGCTAAAACTTTTCATCGCTTTTCTTTAATTACAGCCATAGCCTGAAAATCACTCCCCGGAAGGNGAAGTCACGTACTTAGTTACCAGCATTTTCTTAGCATTGTTCCCCTTAATTGTTCACGGAAAATATCATGCCTTTTGGAGTTAAAAGCTAAAACTTTTCATCGCTTTTCTTTAATTACAGCCATAGCCTGAAAATCACTCCCCGGAAGGGTGTCAGGCTAAATGTATACAATTAGGGGCATAATGGGCTCCTGATCTGACAGAACATAATGCGGTAGGCGGACGCTAGGTTTGGTCTGCTAAAACGTTTGAATGAAAACTGAAAAGATATTATGCGAGCTTGATGAATATTTCATAACATGAAACAATCAGCAACGCCGGAGAGTCAGTTAGTGACAACCTCGTTCCCAGGGTCTCTCATCTTACCGCCCCCTGGAGCTCGCTCCAGGGGGCGGTAAGATGAGAGACCCCGGGAACGAAGTTGAGTTAGTGACGTCTTGAGGTACATTGGACTGGATTACTGACCCTTTTCCTTAGGTTCGATCTTACTTTCAAAAAATTTAGTTCCGGCCTTTAAAAAATGTTTCGGGGCTGATTTTCCAAAGCTAAACCGCAGAGAGTTTCTCTTTCTTCTTTGAATGAACAGATTACGTAAATCGCCTTGTCGTATTTCCGGGTAACTGAAATACAGTTGTTTGGGGGGAACAATTGTGTTCATTACGGTTTGTAGTGATTAAGTTAAATATGATTGCAAATAGGGCTGTTTGCTTTCTGGTTAATTCGGCGCTGTCATCCAAACTACGTAAAGAGGAGGGAGGCTATTTAAGGTGGGACTTAACCTAAAAACACTTAAAAACACCATGTTTCAAACATTTTTTCGTGGTTAAGAGTTAACTCCAAACCATGGCAAAGTATACATTCTTAAAACCCTCAAAGAGCAAAGATTATGAAAAAAATATTTGTGTACCCTTTAACTGTATTGTAACCTGACACCGGCTGATTAAATCTGCCA